ATAAAAGTCCACGTAATTTAATTGTTAATCTAAGGTAAAAAGCAAATTAGCATAATAGTATCTGAACTGCACTGCCCTGAAATCCCCCGATAGGCATCTTTCTGACTCCTGCTATTGTAAAAACTGTTCCCATTGGTTCTTGACCCTATTAAAGTTGTTCCTAGACTAGGGAGATGAGCTTTGCACAGGTAGTTTTTGGGAGCCTCTCTGAACAAACAGCCCTTAGATGATGCCTTTGTGCTGGGGGGGGGTGGCTGGTTTTTATGTGAGATATTAATGCTAGAGAGAGAGCCTGTATCAATCCTGATGCTTGATAGGATTTCCCCTTTGGTTTCATAAACTTTGTTAAAAATTTAGCTGCTTTTCTTCAGAGTCAGTTCTGATAACATTAAATTATATGTTTTAAGGTATAAAATTATTTGAGGCTGGTTCCCCTTCCATTTTATCACCTGGTATCATAGTATTCAGGTACACTGTGTTTCACTGTTCAGCCTTTATGTGCTTTCACTGTCCCGGGCATATTTATTAATTAACGTCTTCTCTACGTTTTGAAGACCTATTAGTTTGAAGTGCTATTGTTACAAGTGCTTAAATCTTGAGTTCAAAAAAAAAACCCCAAGAACCACTTTGCAAGGTGGCAGAAGGCTTGTAATAGTGATGCAAGAAGTGCACTTAATGCCATAATGTGTCTTTGCTTTCGAGAGGCTTTGATCCACAGAGGTCTTCAGGCACCTGGCTCCGGCAGCAGGATCTGGGCTTGCGGTTCCTATGTTATAAAATGCAGGGGAGAATTAGGAAACTGAGCATGAGCTTTTTGAAAAGCGGCATGCTGAAATCAACTGTGGTAAATGGGGAAATGAAGACAAGGGTGAAGTAACCAGAAATGGGGTCCCCTTGGAAGTCCACTTAGGATTTCTTTGATTTTTTTGATGGGTTTCTTCTGTGGCAAGCCTGGGGACACCTGAGCTGTATGCCTCTGAGTGAAATGCAGCCACACCTGAGTTTGGACCTCAGGTGGTCTTCTCATGTATAGTTTCATCCATGCATAGGTACATAAGAGCTGGTAAAGTCTTGCTTTTCATCTGGACTTGCATACCTCAGCTCAGCATGATGTAATGTGTGCAGTAAGATTCCTGTCTGAGTTTGTTAGAAACAGGTGGAATATTTCTGCTTCAGGCCCAGTGTTACAGTTAGATTTGTTAATCCAGTTTCTGCCCGAGTGAAAGCAGCCCAGTTGCAGGATCCCATTGCAAGGCTGGAGAGTTGGGGTCAGGCTTCCCGTTGCTCCAGGCTGGGGGAAGTCATTTGCAAACTGACGGTGGTCCATGCTCTGCAGGTTCAAAGTGGCAATACAGTGTATCAGGATAATGATGAAGGCATTTAGTTCTCTTGGAGAAATGTCATTTATTTATTCATTGTGAACTGTTTGCTGAACTCTGCTTGCTAGAACTTACACGTTTGGAGCTGGTTCATAAGCAGAGCAAAATACAGGAGGGAATCATATATAAATACTGTATGACTGCCTGCTAATTATTTGCTTACTGATCCATGGAAACAAACAAACATAACAGGCATTAAACTAACTATTGAAGTTAGCATTAGTGAATAGCTCTGCCACGTGGAAAGGCACAAAAACATTAAGAAAAAGATGCTTTTTAGGAATAAGGCACACTTGGTTTTTTTATTGCTGCCATTTACTTTCAACAACTTGGGGGGGGGGCTCATGATACTCAGAATGCATGGACTAATGGCATTTTACGTATAATTGGGCAATATCTCATTTTCATTTGCATAATACAAGCAAAACCAACAAAATACAAATATAGGGCAGCATAAATGCAGTGCTAGCAATCACTAGCATCACTTACAGTGCAGTAAGGGAATGCAGGTGACGATAGTTTATCAGATGACTAAATAAAGACAAGTGGAAAATAACTACAATGTCAAAAAATGGGGAAAAAACATTTTCTCACTTAGATGACCTTTTATGTATAGGAAATAGGATTTTTTGGAAACTGCCCAATCAGGCCTCAAACCAACTTGCACCAGGTGCATGTTTTGTGGTTTACAACTAAGAAAGGTTCCACTTATACATATGTATTTGCTGAATAAAGTCATCAGGAGTTACTGAGGTATAATCCTTATAGATCGTTAAAGCTCTCCATGAAAAAGACTGAGACACCAGTTGTAAGGAAAAAAAAAAAAAAAAACACCACGTTGTATAACTAGTTCATATTCTGCTAAGACCAGTTTTCCGTACAGGAGAGGGGCAGTGTATTTGACAGGAGGTCTGACAGAAGGGGAGCTCTGGAATGAGTAGTTCTCCAGAAGAGAAGACCAGACAGTCAGACATGAAGGCTGTGCACACAAAACTTCTGCCAGACTCCCCTGCCTTACGTGTTGACACCTACTTGTAGCAATCAAGGGGAGCAATTTAATTACTTAAAAATTGTGAACAGTTCTTCTGTACCAGATCTGGTATGTGATAAACAGGTAATGACTGATCAGGCTGATGAGAGGCTCAAATCAGTAGAATAATGTTTGCTTGGCAATGATAGGCATAAAATGCGTCTTCTATGCCTCCAAGATCACATAAAACTTGCTTTAACAGCATTGTCGCTATTCACTGTGAGTGAGACCCTGCTCACACCCTGAAACACAGAGTCTTGTTAACTTTGGCACTCCTGATGGCATGGAGTCCTCCTAACTTTCAGCAG